TTGAGCTGGACTACGGCTTCTTCTTCACCGTGGAGGAAAGATCCAGCGCCTATTCCCAGGCGAGGGGTAGCACCTACGTGAAAAAAAAAAAAAAAAAGGAAGCAAGCGACATTTGGGAAGAGCTAAATGACGGGGAGAATTCGAAGCTTAAACGGGGGAACCGAAGAAAGGGAGCTACCTTACGAAGAAAAGAAACCAGTTTGGAAAGAACCAGCAGAGTTGCTACACGAAAGGGTGAAAGTGTGCACATGGTTGACGACACAAAGGATAGCACTGTCGCAGATAGCACGGTCGCGGATAGCATCGTTGGGGATAGTTTCGTCGGGCGTACCTCCGAATCGTGTAGTGGGACGAGGAGCGATTCGCAGAGCGTATCGGAGAGTGCACCGACGGGTCCTAGTGAGAACCGCGATGAGTCCTCCTTCAATTTGTTTTCGCTACAACTACTGCCCGATGTGTCAACCACCCAGGGAGAGAAGCCAGTCAAGTTAAAGCAAATGAATACGGATAAGTGCAAAAAGGGAGACACTCAAGGACGCGTGAACTACTCGAAAAAGCCAAGTGAGACGGAGGGAAGCAGCACAAGGTTCCTAAACCTAGTCAAAGAGAAAAACATATTGCGCAACATTTTATCATTCATGAAGTGCAGTGATTTGTTGGAGTTGCAAAAGACGTGCTCCATGGTCTACGTGCTGGTGAGCGACTTCCTGGACTATATATGCCTCCACATATTTTCAAAATTTAAGAGAGCCTACGAGGGGTACTTCACTCCCTTCGATTGTTTCTACAAGTACGAGGTTCTCTACACGGATAATCCGTCCTTCCGCCTAGACTGCATCCTGCTCGCGAAGGTGAGTGGAGTGGGGCGGTGAGGAGGAGCATAGTGCCCCGGCGAGTTACCCACCGAGACGCCGCCACCATGCCGCCTCTCCATAGGAGAAGTCCCTCCATAGAAGAAGTCTCTCTACCAAACCTCCTCTCCACCCCCCCCTTCAGATAGAAAAGCGCGCTGTCGGGTACAACAACCGATTCGGTTACAAGTACAAATACGAGTTCGACGCAAAGCAAAACAGCTACCATGTTTACTACAATTTCAACGTGCTTAAGAAAAACGTAGCGAGAAAAATCGAAATACACAAAGACATCTCGTATAACAATGGAGATGATATTAACGTCTCGCACATCATAAGTAACGACGTCTGTGCCAATGACTACATATGCATCCCAATAAATTTATTTAACATTATCGGCACAGTTAATTTCCATTCAATCACTTTTATGGAGAATAAATTGAGCAGACACGTCACGTATAGTAACGGCTTCGATGACCAGCTATGGTATGACAGGGAGGAATACAAGACGCTGATTAAGGAGGATAACTTGGTTTCTTCGGAGTGTTTTCTTCCATATTTGAAGCACGTGAAGACGATCTACTCCGGGATCGACGTGACCGTTATGAAGTCGATCTACAGGGCGGTCCAGCCTGGTACAACTGGAGAGTCCGTGCGCAGCCAAGCCACTGTTTGGCCACGTCGCCGCTTATCCACACCACCGCCTATCTACGTCTCCGCTTATCCACGACATCGCTCATCCACGACATCACTCCCTACTCACGAATTCTTCCCTCTGCAGGAAAGCTTGGCCGCCGGAGTTACGCCCTCTGGGGAAACCACTTCATAATCGAGAGCAATCTAGACCCCGTGTTCACCTTTCTGAAGCGAGAGGGGCTGCAGCACGACTACATTTACCATAATTTTTATCTGCGCGTGGGGGATTCCATCGTTTTTTACTTGATCCGTGGCGGCAATCACGACGTCTAAATTGGGGAGGAAGTAGCATCGTGTTCGTCGCGTGTTTTTTTTCCGCCACCTCACGTCGCCTTTTTAATTTCCCTTATTTGTCTCCCCCTGCGCGTCAGTTGGCCGCTCGTCTTGCCCCCCTCTCTTCCTCAGCGCGCTAATTAACGAACAGCAAGCCTAATGACTCCCTCTGGACATTTTTATTGCGAGCCAAAAATATGTCCAAATTCTTTTCATACATAAAGTAGTTCAGTACGTGGGTCCGGATCTGATTAGGGACCCTCCTTCGCAGGGCCTCTACGCAGTTAAAGAGTATGAATTTCTGCGTGTCATTTAGGTAGAGAAAATTGCCCAGGCAGATTACGAGCAGTTGTGAGTGCAGCTGCTCCGTTGTGAGGTTGTAAAAGTGGAGGAAGTGCAGAATGGACAGAATGTCATTGAGGTAAATCGGGCAGGTAGCTATCCCCCCAACATGAGCATCCTCCATCATGTGTGCGTCATTTTGTCGAGCGAGGTCGAACTTCACACATTTTCCAACCGCCTGCCGCACGAGATGCAGAATTTTGTGGGTTATGCTTAAGTCTACAATTTTGCGTCGAAGGAAACTTTCGCAAAGGAAAGAAATCTCTGCAATGTCGAGGGAGCTACACACGTTTTCGTTTTTGATAAATATGTCCAAAAAGAAGTTAAACGAATTTAAATAGGACTTCAAAATGTGAAATTTCAGAAATGGCATTCTTAGCATGTAGCTGAGGAGGAAGAAAAAGTTCTTCAGCAATTTGTTTGTTGCGTGGTGGTACTTATTTCGATATGGTGCGTCTTCCTCGTACAGGGAAAAGTTGTATGTGTACTGCTGGTCGTATAGAAAGGCAAGCGCGTCGTGGGGAGGAAGGTGCACCCCACTATGGAAGAGGCCTCTGCCTGGCCCCTCCTCCTTCGTCACACAATTTATAAAGTCGTATATGCCCTGCTCAGACCACTCGTTCATACTTGCGATGCACCCCCCCAGGGCGCGCTCAACTGCTCGGTTTAACTTCTTATCCGTGTAGTAGTTCTGTGCGTCCATGAAAGCGAGCAGAGTTAGCATGTTCCTGCGGAGAAGGGGGGTCCTCTCTTGGGCGATGAAGTACTTCACGACGTCGCCAATCAAGTCCTGCACATAGGAATTTTTGCGCCCCAGCTCTTTGTCATGGATAAAAATGGTTAGTACTTCCTTCATTTGGAACATGTTTCGCTCGTCCTCCGTTCCCTTGGCGACGAATGATTTGGTTTCTTCGATCGCTTCGGTTGTTCCGATGGCTTCGTCTGCTTCCACCACGTTGACGCATTCTCCCAGCATTTTGCCCACCTCGTTTTTTATCTGAGTTAACAGCGTGCCTTTTAATTTGAGTCCCTGATGCTTCCCCTCCCTGACTTTTATTTTCCGCTTCTCCCTCTTCACGTTTATGTTAATAAACGGTACGCTATCTTTGGAGACCTCCTTTTCGTATTGCTCCATGTCCACATCTTGCAAATTTTCGAGGACGTTCTCTGCCTCTGCATCATTTATATGTTGTACCATGGGCTGCTTCCCCTGAGGATCTTCCTTAACGGAGGAGCTTTTTTTCTCCTTATCGCCCTGTTGGGTTGTATCACTTCCTGTGGCATTATCCGCCATGGAGAGGTTTCCATCGGGGGAACCCCTGTCCATATTAACCAACTTGACTTTATAAATCAGAGGAAGGTGATTTATGGCGGAGTGTAAATTGGTGTGCGGGGCGAAGAGTACCTTCGACAGATCATAGGAAAAGTCATTCTCAATTTTGAAGTAGTACATTTCAAGGACGCTTAAGACCTTCCGAAGGACGTAACTGTCTCTGTAATTGACTCGACACATTAGGTAAAAAAGGATAAAGAGATCCTCATAGCCAAAGGAGTACTTTATAGCTTTTTTTATTAACTGGAGGAATTTTTTTTTTTCATCATTATGAATGTAGAAGGCGCACAGGTGGATAAAACATTTGCTGCTATTTATGTAGTTGAAGAAGTCATCACTAAATGGCATCGTTAATTGCTCTGCTTGTGTTTGTCTCGACTTTATGTAGTCCAGACCTTCGATTTCGTTCGGTTTGTTCTCCTGACTATTCAGTGGAGCCGCTTTCCCATTCGCTTCTCCAGGTGCCTCCCCCCCCCGCGGGTCAATCACTTTGTGTATTTTTTTCTCCACGTAAAAATAATCGCTCACAATTTTGTTTAGTTTCTCCTTGGGGACGCTGTTGAAGAAAAATCGCCTCTCCATGCGGTGCACGGCCCTTAGGAAGGCGCGCCGTTTCATTTTGGAGGTGTGTGTCTTGATAGGAAGCGTAGCAGTGTAACTTTGGCGGAGTAGCAGTGTGACCCTGACAGAGTAGCAGTGTAATCCTGGCGGAGTGGCCGTGTACCCCTTGGCCGTTAACGCTGGGAGTTATGTCCGACCTGACGACGTGGCACAGCTCAACTGATATAGAGGCATCATCCGGGGGGAACGCTTCGAGGAATAATTGCCCCTACATTTCAGCTAACATAGCGGAATAGCGAAACGGGGAAGTGGCCTCTCACGGTGTCGCAAAAAAGAAAAAAAAAACAGGGTGGACATTCTCACACCGATGGGAGAGGAGAGCCATCTCAGTCGTTGCGTTTCGCGGAAAAAACGGGAGGGCGGTTGAGCCAGAGGGTTGAAAAAGGTCAATTCAATATGCCTCCCAGTATTGAAGATACCGTTTAGTGTCGACACAGGTAGGTGCCATAGTGTAGTGGTGCTTAAGCGTAATCTGGCGAAGCCGCAATTTGGTGAGGGCATATTTTTGTCAGGCCATATTTTGACGAATTTTCTGCTTGACGAATGTACCTTCTGGTGTACGCCCAGCTTGGCCAAGGAACACCCCTGCGCGCCCCCGGTCTACCCCTCCTTATAGCGAACGCCACGAACCACAACGCGCTGCCCTTCCGGAGAGGCCCACCCACTTCGAGCGACGACCGAGAGGGGCATGCCCCCTATGAGTGTACAAAGAAGAATAAAGAGGACCCCGCGGGGTGCTCAAAATACTGTGCGCCACGTGGAGGAGGTGTCCCCCAGGGAATCTGTGCTTCCCATCTAACCGCTTCTCATCTCACCGCTTCGCATCTGATCGATTCCCTTCTTACCGCTTCCCCCCCAGCCCACCGCATGGCGGAGGAACCCACCCTGCGCAGCTTCCTGCAGCTGGAAGACGTGCGCGACCGGTACATCACCGACCTGAACACTGAGAAGCAGCGGTTCTCATACGCAGAGCTGTACGAGGAAGTGACTAAGCTGCGCTGCTTCCTAAAAGGCATCAACGTGCAGCCAGGGGAGGAGATCTCCATCATCCTCTTCAATAGCATTGAGTACGTCGTGAGCTTCCTGGGAATAAACTACAATAAAAACATATGCCTTCCATTGAATACCAATCTGAAGAAAGAGGAGTATGTAAGGTACCTAGTGAATAACTGCAAGTATATAATTATACACGACTATGATGAGGACGATGACAGTTATTTTTCGATGAAAAAAAAACATGGCTATTACAGAAATGTGTGCAAGTCGATTGAGGAGATAGGTAGCGAGCACCGCATTGGGGTTATTCGCATTAGAAAGAATAAAGAAGCGCCGTTTTTTACCTACTCGTTAAGCAGACCCATTGGCGGTAGGCACGCTACAGTCATCAAAGGAGAGCTAAAGGAGGACAACGGATTGACCAAAAAGGGAAGCGACGTCTGCCTCCATCTCCACACATCGGGAACAACAAGCAAAGTGAAGATAGTCCAACTTACGAATGAAAATATCAAAACGACCATCAGGAATATCACCAATTCGTACGGACTGAACAGAGAAGACAACACAGTTATTGTGATGCCTCTTTACCATGTGCATGGTTTAATCGGAGTGCTAATGCCAATCTTGTATGCCAAAGGGAATGTCCTTTTTCAAGTGGGCCACTCATTTAGTGCTTCTGAATTTTGGAAAAACGTCGTGCACCACAATGTTACTTACTTCTCGGCCGTCCCAACCATTTTGAATATTTTGCTCCTACGGTACGAGAGGGACTATTTGGTAGATGGCGTGAAGGTAAAACACAAGTTGAGATTTATTAGGACGTCCAGTTCGCAACTGGATGAGCATACGGAGAAGGAAGCGGAGGTGAAATTCGAGACGAACGTTTTGCAGGCCTATGGCATGACGGAGGCATGTCACCAGGTCAGCACGAATAAGCTTATTCTCACCGATGGGAAAGACGTAACAAGTGTTAAGAAGTACAAAAGTGTAGGAATTCCAAACGTAGGGGTAGTCATATATGACCACGAAAAGGAGAGAGTTTGTCGAAAAAATGAACTCGGAGAAATTTGCATTAACGGGAAGAACGTCATGTTTGGTTACAAGGAAGCGGAAGACAATGAAAATATATGTGTTCATGTAGACACTATGAAGGAAAGGACAGACTATATGGAGGGGAACCCCTTTTTGGCCACTGGCGAATGCGTTCCTTTCTTTAAAACTGGAGATGTTGGTTATATCGATGAAGAGAATTTCCTCTTCATTGCTGGCCGAATTAAGGACATAATAAACAGGGGGGGCGAAAAGATCATCCCCAACGAAATCGACGACGTGCTGAGGGATGACCCGCGGGTTTTGGACTGCTTAGCCTTTGCGTCTACGGATGAGGTGTATGGCGAGGCCATCCACGCGGCGGTCATTTTGGACGAGAAACAGTTGCCCTGTGGGGACGCCCTCCAGAAGGCGCAGCCTGGAAGTTTCACGTGGGGGGGCACTTCGCCGAAGGATTCGATTACCGCTTCCGGCCCCCCGCAGCATGCCGACCCCCCCGCAGAGAACCAATTCAACGTGGAGGTCTCGTTGAGTCTGAACTTTAAATACCACCACCTGCGGGAGGAACTAACGGAGCACATGAAGAAACGACTAGCCGATTTCAAAGTGCCGAAGAAGATCTACTTTGTGAATCATTTCTTAAAAACGGACACGGGGAAAGTATCCAGAAGGAAGATGGCCGAAGGGGTTGATCATTTGAAAAAAACTCCACTGAGCCTATTCGACGTGCTAGCCTTATGTCTGAAGAAGGCCCATCTGGATGATTACATTTACGGCCTGTATGGAATTCCCCTGAACAGAATGATCTACAGTTTTTTACGCAACAAAATTTACTACATAAGTTTTAGGAACGAAATAAATGCTTCCCTCAGTTGCAGCTATGTTAATTTTTTCGACCAGAACAAGGAGAAGAAAAAAGTGGGAATCATTTTAACATGCTCAGGACCAGCATTTGTGAATGCCCTGCCTGGGCTGTACAATGCCAAGGTGAACCACTTTCCGCTTATCTTGATATGCTTCGAGAATTTTACTGCTAAAAATTTGACTGAGTTTGGTAAGCGGCAGAATTTCCAGTACTTCCCACAGCAGCAATTTTTGGCAAAGGCCAAGGAGATGTGTGCAGGGGTGTTCCATGTTGATTCACCGGATGCATTTCCGGAGCAGCTATACAATTGTTTTGAGGCATCTATACGGATGAAGTTTCCTGTTTACTTAAACTTGAGTTATGACCTAATCGGGAAGGAAGTGACTCTTGACAGGGCTCTACACTTATTGGATCTGAGTGAAGGCTACGCACGGAGGTACCACAAACCATTGAACGTGGAAAACGGACGAATTATTATTTCCAAAGAGGAGGAGCAAAAATTCCAGAAATTGTTGCAGCTATTTTGTAGGATTTACCAGAATAACAAAAGAGGAGCGATTTTCCTAGGCACCAACTGCAACCATGGCGCTAAGTACGTCTTGAAGTTGTCTCACTTGATGAGGATACCCATATATGCTAGCACTATGGCCAAATTTTTTGTTAAAGAAAATTATCTCTACAATGCTAATCAGTGTAAATCATTCCTCTTCGAAAATCTGGACTTTTGCTTCGCCTTCGGAACGGTCTACAATTTTTATTTCAACTTTGGCAACTTCCCACAGTGTAAGAAGGAGAATATGCTTTGTGTTGATTTAACGAATGATGTATTTGACCCTCAAGTGGATTCCCACTGCGAGCACTTCTTCTTCTCCGACTTGTACAGAGTGGTGAAGCAGTTATATTTCTCCCTCAAAGGGGGGTCCGCCCTCTCCATTGATGTGGACGCACGAATGAGTTGGGTAGCCGCCATCCAAGAGGCAAAGCAGAGGAGCATACATAAACTTTGCTGCCAAGTGGCGACCCAGCACTTGGTTTCTGAACGGTTTACCATGGAGCAGGTCATGCTTCTCCTCAGACACTGCCTGATTGATTATTTCTTCGCCCGGAATGAAATTCCAGCGACGTACAGACGATACTTTATCGATTATTTTAAGTACGTTGACCGGGGGCAGCTGCGCGGGGTGTTTCACGGGGAGGTCCTCCCTCATGGGGATGGCGAAGCAGATCTGGGTGCGCCGCAAAGCGACTGCGATCTGAGTGACAGCAGCTCGGAGGGGCGAGATGAAAGGGACGACACAGCCGGAGGCCCCTTGCCCACGAAGAGTAAGACATGGGAGAACAAGACATGGGGGAACAAAACATGTGTGAAAAAAACATGCCCGAACAGCACATTCCCGAACAGAAAACACAAGTTCCTCAACCAGGAAATAAAAAAACGAGTCGTAATCACCAACGAAGGGTCCATAACGCTACACTTGGGAATATTATATTTACCCCATCTCGGGCCATACAATTTTGTCGTTCCGCAGATCAATGGAATGATGGGTGTATCAATGAACGCAGCTATTTGTGCCGCCCTGAACCATCCGGAAAATGTTGTTTTTGCAATTTTAGGAGATTCCTCTTTTGGCTTTACCTCCAACGAAGTAGAAACCATGTGCCGCTTCAAGTTAAAAGTTGTTCTCATTATTTTAAACAACAACGGGATATATGGTGATAGGGACTTCCAAACAAAGGGACCCCATTTTGACGAGGTGAACAAGGATGCCCATTTTTTTCTTCACAATCCATCCGCTCTTTACCATTTTAGCAAGTATGAAAATTATGTGACTGCCCACGGGGGGTATGGTCGCTATGTTGATAATCGGGAAGACTTTCTCCAGCAGATGAAGCACGTCATGAGCGAAAGTTTTAACTCCTTCCCAGTATTACTAAACGTTATCGTGGGGGAGGCGCAGTCGGTTAAGTTTGACGTGGACAAGTATATACAGTGAGGCAGGGCAAGTTGGGATGAGTTTTTTTTTTTTTTTTTTTTTTTTTTTTTGTTCCCCCCCTCACCAGGTGGGCCAATCGGTTGATGAGCGATCCACCTTTGTAGCGTCGGTTCAGTGCGCTCATTTATTTTATGGATCTGTATAGATCTCCCCCTTTTTACCTTTTAATTCTGCACCGGACGAGGCCACATGGACGTGTGTATCTGTACATGCACATTGTTAGATAAACATCCATGAGAGAGCATCCCCGTGCATGCAATTTTTAAAATTTAATGATGTACACCTGTTTGGAGCCGCTCCCCGCAGTGTTGGGGATGCGAGCCCAGACCATTTCAAATTGTTTAAGTGGAATACGCGATGGATATGCGTCACTTTTAGCGCTTACAAAGAATGCTCCGTTATCTGGGGGGTCGGGGATGGAAACAACTACTGGCATGATGCGCGAAATTCTGTTTAGCCAACCTGTTGAGCGTGGCAACGTTCGCTAACCACTTAGGTGGTACGTTTCCGCTTGTCAACTTAATGCGGAGAATCAGAGAGAGAGAGAAAAAATGGACACAGCGGAGTGGGCCCTTACGTGGGCCACAGCCATCTCTGTTTCACAGCGGAAGTGGACGCCGCAACCAAAGGTTCTTTTCAATTGCGCACATGTAGGTGGTTACCACTGACACTTTGTGTGGTTGTGTGGGAGGGGAGATTCCCCTCTCCTGTACAATAAAAAAAAAATTGACGTATTGGAGTGGCCCCCTTTTGGCAACAACGTACAATTGTTCATCCCTAACGGGGAGGGAATACTTCAAAAAATTGGCTCAACTCGAAGGGGCAAAAATATTAATTGCCATTTTTCATCGCAAAAAAAAAAAAAAAGTTCACCTGTACACGATTTGTTTGGCGAAGGGGCCATACTGTTACAGCTGCATAAAGTTATATATTATGTGCATGCTGAAATGGAAAAAAAAACAAAGTGTCCTCCTTTTTGCAAAAAATAAATCAGCCACAGGGAAATGCAAAAGGGACGAATTTGGAAAAACGGGGGAGGCACCTTGCAGAGGAGTATGCCCACGTGTTTCTTTCCCGTGGAGCCCTTTTCATAACAGAGCCTTACACGTTTTCGTTTCTTCGCTTTGGTCGCTACGCATGTGCGTGTATTTGTGCGCAGCGCAAACTTTTATCCTCCTCCAGGTTTTGGTGCATACTTCTCTACTCGTGTAGTGTACTTTTCTTTGGGCCGGGGCAAGGGGCCACTTTCCTTTTTATTTTTGCTTATCGTGACCACCATTTCTTGCAAAGTCGTGCTCGCTTCGCTGTTTTATTTGCTCCCTTTTAGTAACCTTACCATGTCAATGCCATGTCACATCGCATCATATTAATGCCCATATATGATTCCCTTATTGTGTTGTTTTTTTTTTCCCACTTTGTGTTTACGATTTTATTCCCCCGGAAGGATAACGATTAAGTGTTTAACAAAAAAAAAAAGAAAAAAAGTCCCATTCCGAGTCAAAGAAAAAAAAAAAAAAAAAAGCGATTTTTCGTCAACTTCATCAAAATTATGCAATATCAAAGTTGATCGAGTTTTTAACTGGCATTTGCGCAAACGTAGTATCTTGTGACAGGAGCTTGTTTCGTCTGCGTGCTGGAAGAGAAAGGCCATTTTTACGCGAAAGTTCGCTGCCCCTTTGTTTGTATGACTGTTTGCCCGGAGGCATAAGCGCACACGAGGGTATGCACATAACGAGATAACTTACAAAACACGAGCACATCCGTTGACACCTTTGACACGTCGTTGTGAAGGACATTTTTTTTGCAAGCGCACGTGTGCATTTCGTGAGCCTCGAAAACTTCCCTGGCTACCGCGTTACGGTGCCCCCCTTGAGTGTGTACCCCATAATGGAGAACAGTGCTGATGTGAAGGCCGTGGCCGATGAAAACAACGGAGATGGGAAAGTGACGAAAAAGAAGAACCTGAGCAGACTCATTGTGGAGGAAGCAACAAACGATGACAACTCCGTTGTGGCCCTGAACACCAAGCGAATGGAGGAATTGAACTTTTTCCGAGGGGATACCATCTTGATTAAGGGAAAGAAAAGGCACTCCACCATTTGCATCATTTTGAATGACAACGACTTGGATGAAGGCAAGATTCGGATCAACAAAGTTGCCAGGAAAAATCTTAGGGTTTGCTTGGGAGGTAACGCGCAGGGAATTACTCGCGGATGTACTCGCCGATGCACTGGCGGACTGTCCCACCCTGTGTAGACTGGCCACAGCAGGGCAGGACCTATCACTTCCCAGGCACCGCTCTAACGCCACTAACATCGATCTTTCGTATGGCCTCTCTTCCCCATCGTCGCTCCTTCGCATGGCCGCTCTTCTCCATCGTCACACTTCCCCATCACCGCGCCTCCCCCCCCGCAGACATCGTCTACGTGAAACCGTGCCCCGAAATCCCGTACGGAAAGAAGATCCAGGTGCTACCCCTTGATGACACCATCGAAGGCCTTGCGAAGGACACCCTGTTCGAGATTTTCCTGAAGCCGTACTTCAGCGAATCGTACAGACCAGTCAAGAAAGGCGACTTGTTCCTTGTCCGAGGTGGGTTCATGTCGGTAGAATTCAAAGTCGTTGAAGTTGACCCAGATGACTTCTGCATCGTTTCTCCAGACACGGTGATATACTACGAAGGAGACCCCATCAAAAGAGACGATGAAGAAAAGCTAGACGAAATAGGTTATGATGACATAGGAGGATGTAAAAAACAGCTAGCTCAAATTAGAGAAATGATTGAAGTGCCACTGAGACACCCGGGATTATTTAAGACGTTAGGGGTGAAACCACCCAGAGGAGTATTGCTATATGGACCCCCAGGAAGTGGAAAGACATGTATAGCGAAAGCTGTGGCAAATGAAACAGGAGCCTATTTTTTTCTCATAAATGGACCAGAAGTAATGAGTAAAATGGCAGGAGAAGCAGAAGCAAATTTGAGGAGAGCCTTCGAAGAAGCAGAAAAAAATTCCCCTGCAATTATCTTCATTGACGAAATTGATTCCATTGCTCCTAAAAGAGAAAAAACCAACGGAGAAGTTGAAAGGAGAGTCGTTTCACAATTGCTAACTCTAATGGATGGAATAAAAACTAGAGGCCAAGTAGTAGTCATAGCAGCGACGAATAGGCAAAATTCGATAGACCCTGCGCTGAGACGATTTGGTAGATTTGATCGAGAAATTGACATAGGAGTACCAGATGACAATGGAAGGTTTGAAATTTTAAGAATACACACGAAAAATATGAAGCTATCTCCAGATGTGAAGCTAGAAGAACTGGCAAGCAGCACACACGGTTTTGTTGGTGCCGATTTGGCTCAGCTATGTACAGAAGCCGCACTAACATGTATCCGAGAAAAAATGGATGTAATCGATTTGGAAGATGAAATTATTGACAAGGAGGTGTTAGAAAGTATGTGCGTAACACAGGATCATTTTAACATGGCCTTGGGTACATGCAACCCATCGTCGTTACGAGAAACCGTTGTTGAAGTTCCGAATGTTAAATGGGATGACATTGGTGGACTAGATGAAGTGAAGAATTCGTTACGAGAAATGATTCTCTATCCAATTGACCATCCAGACAAATTTGAAAAATTTGGTTTGTCTCCATCTAGGGGGGTTTTATTTTATGGACCCCCAGGTTGTGGTAAAACGTTACTAGCCAAAGCCGTTGCATCTGAATGTTCAGCTAATTTTGTATCCATTAAAGGTCCAGAACTGCTAACCATGTGGTTTGGTGAGTCGGAAGCCAATGTTAGAGAAGTGTTCGACAAAGCTAGAGCTGCGGCACCTTGTGTTCTATTCTTTGACGAATTAGATTCTATTGGAACACAGAGAGGGTCTACCCTTGGAGATGGAAGCGGTGCTGGAGATCGAGTGATGAATCAGTTACTAACCGAAATTGATGGCGTCGGACCGAAGAAAAATCTCTTCTTTATAGGAGCAACCAACAGACCTGAATTGTTAGATGAAGCATTACTAAGACCAGGAAGACTAGATCAATTGATTTATATTCCTTTGCCTGATTTAGCTGCTAGAATTTCTATCCTAAGTGCAATATTGAGGAAGTCCCCCGTAGCTGATAATGTGCCTATAGACTTTTTGGCCCAGAAGACCGCCGGATTTAGTGGCGCCGATTTAGCAGAGATGTGCCAGAGGGCCGCCAGAGCGGCCATTCGAGATTCCATCGATGCGGACGAAATGAATAAAAAGTCTAAGCTACAAATGGATCCAAATGTGAAGAGCGAAAATGGAGAGAATGGTCAAAGCATTCAAAATGGTACCACTGTGCAGAATAACGAAGAAAGTACCATCAAATATGAAATTACGAGGCACCACTTCAAGGAGGGACTAGCTGGCGCTAGGAGAAGTGTTTCACAAGCCGACCTAATTAAGTATGACAACTTTAGAATAAAGTTCGATCCTCTGTACAAGACGAAGACGGGTGGTGGAAACGATGACTTCATCATCGACTGGCCCGATGAGGAGAACAACGAGGAACCACAGGAGTACAACGTGGATGATGACTTGTACTCGTAGTTCGGCGAGAGTGTGCGTCTTCTTCGCGTGGCTATACAGCCGTGCGTACGCTGCATGGTCGTACCGTTGTGCTCACTCTGCCCTGTTGTACACTTACGAAATTTTTTCCCAGCACGCCGTTATCGAATTCCCCACCGGTCAGCTGTGCACACCTGTGTGCATACATCCCCCCGTGCAACAACATCCCACCTGCACGCCTTTTTTAATTCCCCTTTTGCCATTATAACAAAGTTGTACATTTTTTAAGCCAAGAAGGGGGCCAGAATTACACCGCCCGCCTTCTCTTCACAGTTTACGTATAGGTGTGTGTCCCAGTTTGGGGGCTTTCCCCCTGTGTCCATCTGTACGTCTGTGTGAATTAAATAAAACCGTTAAATTTTTAACAAATTTAAGTGATAGCATCTTTTGGAAGCGTCTTTTGGATAGTCTCCTTTTGGGGAGCCTCCTTTTGCACCGTTTTGGCCAACAACATATGCGCAGTTTTATGCGTAAGGAGGTTGCTGCGTGGTCAGCTAATGCGGCCCTTTTGCTTCTAAAAAGTGGGACAATTGGGGGGAGGTATCCTTCTAAGGGGCAGCAAGCTTCACCTACGTTAGGGTGTATATAGATATATATGTACGTACATGTGCTCACCGCATGTGTCGTAGACGCGGAGGTGCACCTCCCTTCCCTTCTTCCCAACACCGCGACATTTTCTTTGGAGAACTCCCAACACTTAGAAGATCAACACCGGGGGGTAAAAAGGACAGCAGCTTGAAAAATAAAAAAAAAAGAGAAACAGACACGGAAAGGAACGAAGCGAAGTTGCCCGATTGAACAGGTCAGCTCCCTATGAGTGAAGACGACATGCGAAAACATACCCTTTTGTGAAAAATAGGGAAACGCGGAGAACATTTTAAAACGGGGTAAGTATAGGCGCCCTAAACGGCCATGACGCGAATGACGTAATTTGCCCAAAAAAAATTTTAGTGGTGGGATAAGACTCTCGTTCTCATAAGTGTATATCCTTAGGTGGGTCTGCACACACGCTTCCAAACGAATGAGAGGGGTTAATTTGGAAATTATTTGGTAGCCCTTTGTGGAACGCCACAGGTCACCGTACAATGGAGTTCCAATTTTTCCAGGTGTAAAATTTCCGGATGTTCAACTTGTGTAGAAGTAGACAGTCTTCCCAATTGAAAGACAGTCTACATCCCGTTGCTAAAAAATGAAGCGCTTAAAAATAACATTTTGTTTTGCTGTCCAGTTTGTAGCTAGCTAGAAAAAAAAATGCCACAATTTTTCTGACCTGTTCATACTTTTTAAGGTTTTTTTTTTTTTTTTGAACAAATATGTATATATAAAAAGTTATTTTTTTTTTCTGGAAAATATCTGTGTATATCAAGCCAAAATGTCAAAAGGCACATAAGCGATTTATAATAACATAGAGTATTATAAAATTTGAGGGGGGGGAAGACAAAGGGGCGTCGACAATGAAACTGCCAATTTTGTTGTTCTTCATTTGGGATGGGAAGTTTAAGGGAGAGGCAGCCCTTCGACCAGCTTTGCGCTCATCATTTCCGCGGTTACCATTTCGACGTTTGTCATTTCCGCGATGCGCCGTTTTTCTGCGCGCGTGCCTCGCACTGAGATAACTGGAGATTACCTGGAGATGTGTTCCTTCCATGTTATCACGCAGCAGCAGTTAAGCTTCCCCTCCGATAGGATGCAGAAGTGACAATTTTTTCAAAATTTTTTCCCCTTTGATTAGAAGCATACTTAAACGTAAAACTAGCACTTTTGAATTGTCTATTTTTGCAATTTTTAAAACGTCTTCGTTGAGTCCTTTTGAACTTTTATTTTACTTTATTTTTTTTTCTCCTACAGTTTGCTTATCTTTTTTAAAAAAGATTACACTGCATGCTATGTCTTATTTGACGAAATTGCTGATTTGAGACTAATCAGCATGCCTAAAAAGTCTGAGAAAGAGTAGCCCTTTGTGCACTTAGGGATAAAGCGAATTTCTGTACCATTCACATGATGAGCTGAGGACACAATATCGTCGAAGAGAGAGCTTTTTAAGCCCGTTATGAGAAGTATACACCATTTTTTACTTCATTTATTTATATTTTTTTCTTTTTTGTGAACCTACAAGGGGTGTTTCATGCTTCATATTGCCCACGCGACGTCGCTTTGTCGTAGAGAACCGAATCATTGCACTAATGTTACTGGAATCAGTTTTAATATTGATATTGTTGACCTTCTGAAGAATGCTGGATTTGCTCCTGCTATGAATAATGCGCCATCAATATTTATGCACATGAAAAAAAAAAGGAAAGAAAGACGAGGGAACAGAACTGGAGAAATCCCCGCTTGCATGCACACCTGCCCATGATCAGTCACATGTGAAGAAAAATCACCACACCGTTGTCACACTTGCCAAGTTGCGCAATCGAGGTGTATACAAATATATGTATATTTATATGCACAAAACGACGAGACCAATGAGTCGAACATAAAATGAGCCCCTTTTCACTTCAAAAGATAATTTTTAATGACAACAAATTGTTGAGCTGTGAAAATGCCCCTAAGGACGATGCCGCTTCGTTTAAAAACCTCACCACATCACAATTTAGAAGCGAGAAAGGAAAAACTGAGGTTCCCCACCGGAAGGATGGAAACAACGAACTGAAGTGTGCACCAAATTTTGACGATATGCCAAATGGTTCCTCCCAGCAAAATTGTGCTGACCACAGAAGTGGACCCCCCGCAATGAATACTGCACACACCTTGGAGAACAATACAAATAGGGGGTACATGAATTTGATAAAAAATAACGTAAGAAATGTTATCAGTAATATAATTAATAGGAAATCCATACTGGGAAGGAAAAACAACCAAGACGTTAGAGAAGACGAGAAAAAAATGGCAGGTGAAGTAAAGAACAGGGGTCAGAATAGTAATGCAGCTCTGAGAAAAGATAAGAACACCAATGTAGATCTGAGAAAAGATAAGAACACCAGTGTAGCTCTGAGCAAAAGTGTAGAATTTCCTGACACCAATGGGCCATCACCAGATGCGAAACCGGTGCCAAGGGGTACTGAAAAAAAGGGAAGCACCTCCAACTGGGTTAGAAGCAACCATGAAGATAAGTCCTCCGTTAGAAAAACATGGATAAACTTAAAAAATGTCCACAAGGATGTTGCCAGAAATGATGCCAAAAATGATGCCAAAAATGATGACAAAAATGATGACAAAAATAATGCCAAAAATGATAACTCAAAGGTGAGTCTGAAGGATGTGGCAAAACACATCCCCGATCAGTCAGATGGAGGTAAGAGACAGCTAAGCGGAAGGGGAACTCCAACAAATGAGAACAATCGAATCGCACAAAAGGTCAGCCACGGGGACCAGAGCAGAACCAACAGAAGTAGCGAAGCAGTGAAGGAGAAAGCATGCAATGATGCGGCGTCTTCAATTAGTAGACCAAGCGCACTAAGTGGGAAGGGACAATCGCTTATTAGAAGAGTCCCCTCCCCAACTAACAGAGGCACAGCGCTAGCAACCAAACCGTTCATATTGGGAATAAAAAAAAATGAAAAAATCCCGAATAAGCAAAACGTCTTCACCTCGAGGACCACACACAACAGAGAAAAATACATAGGCAGAAGTACCACCCCAAATTTTCTGCAAAATGATAGCTTTCAAAAAAACTTAAAAAAGACATTAATTGACACCATCATGAATCCTGACAAGGGGGACCGCACACCGGAACTAGCGGCACCGTTAAGAACAACGCCGAGGATAACGCCAGGGATAACACCAAGGACGACGAAAACGCCAACAGCAACGAATATGCTGAACAGAAGTGGACACCGGGACTTACTCAGAAGGGAGACAATTTTAAATCAAAAGGGCTTTACACATGGAGATAAGACAAAACGCGTGATCAAATATTCGTCGCCAGTCAGTGCGAATAGTGCCAAAGCGATTAGCTCCCACATGAAAGGGGAGAACCCGTTAGAAACGAAGCAGCAAATTATGAGGAGGTACTCTACAGCGGTTAGAAACAGAAACTCAGTGTTAAGAAAGAACAGCGTAAGGACAAATGGACACCTCTCCCTTTATAAACTAAATGGGGAGGGAAACGAAAAAAAAAAATTAGCCTATCAGCCAAATCATACACCGAAGATGATCAACTCTATTAACCACGCGCAAGCTCCTGACAAAACGGAATGGAGTAGCAAAGAGGATGGAAAAGCTTCTCATAATGATGTCTCGCCGAGCAATGCAAATTATAAGAATGAAATGGCCTCTAAAATGTTCCCCTTTCAAAGGAATAAAATAGACGGGGTGGCGAATTCGGCTCTAAAAAATGGAAGACCGATTAAGCAAACTTCACCAAAAGGGGAAGCTAAATATAGGAATAATCCTGCGTCGAAGCAAGGTACAGAAAAATGGGGACTACATAAACGGATGGGAGGAAATAATGAACCATCCCCTCTGCATATGCCTAGACGATCCAGCACGATGAATTCTACCATGGTAAATAAGGAATGTTCAGTGCAAAGTAGGACACTTAAACTGTCTGATAGTGTAGCTAAGGGTCAGGTAAAAAAAGGGATGGATCTTAAAACGGGATACAAATTAGATAGAAGTATGGGGAACAAACGTTTTTTCCAAGTAGATAATATTGAGAAAGTGGGCCCTGCGAATCATGGTGTGAAGTGTAAAAGTAGGTATGCCTCGGAAGGAGACGAATGTGTGGGGGGTCATCTTGATGATGAGAATGGGTCCCTCCCCAATTATGTTGTCAAGGGGGAGCAAAGTAGTGGCAAGGGGGAACAATCAGCGAGGGGAGCGCCACTTGAGGGGCCTGACCAAAGCGACGTGATGAATCGACAAACGGGGGAAGCACTTCCCGAAGGAGAAATAAAAAAAAGTGCCAACCCCGCAAAGCATACACCAGATGGAGTAGTCACAAAGGACGAGGTATATTACGACTCATCAACAGTCAACTCGGCACAGACGAAGTACCGCGAAACAGATTTATATGAAGATTTTAACGACACCACCATGATGGTGTTAAAGAAAAATTTGGACTATGGAGAGGAGACGCCTAGCTGTGTTACCCCCATTTTGGTAACTCAGCGGGAGGATCAGCATCATGTCGATAATATCTACAACGGTGACAATTTAAGCGCGCAGTGCGTGAAAATAGAAAATGGCCCTCCCTACAAGCTGGCGGAATGTGTCTTTCCCGGAGAAGAGCCTGCCTATGAGGTGGAAAAAGTGGATACACAGAAGGGGGGACCAAACAGTGAGGTGGTGGAAGTCAAACTGGAGGGAGCTGAACTGGACGAAGCTGAACCGGATAAAGATGAACCGGACGAAGCACAACCGAATGAAGCTGAACCGGACAAAGCTCAACCGGACAAAGCTGAACCGGACAAAGCTGAACCAGACAAAGCTGAAACGGACAAAGCTGAACCAGACAAAGCTGAACCGGACAAAGCTGAACCGGACAAAGCTGAACCGGACGAAGCTGATAAAAGTGGTTCCTCTCCCACGGCACAGAGTGACATCTTGGAAGATGATGCACTTGTTAACAACGATACAGAAAAAAGCAGCGCGAACCATGTACGAGTAAACAATCAGCCGGACGGGCTGCTCACCCTGCTAGGGAGAGAAGTGGCCCAATTTTGCACCGCCGAAGAAACAGTCAGGGATGAAGCGATAAATGCCCTTAGAAGTGAGAACGATAAGGTAGACGATTCAGACAGTGAGTTCATCACCCTCGTGAAGGAGGAGAATCTCCGCAAGGATCCCTCATCGGACAATGTCAGCAGCCATGTACAAATGAACGGGGAAGATAACATACCCGTAAAGGAAGAACAAAACGGGGATGTCCTCATTCGAGGTGATAGTCGTCACATCATAATTGAAGAAGAAGAAGAACAACAAGGCAATAATTACCATGAGGAGAATGAGGGAGTAGCCGAAATAGGGCAAAGCAAAAAAAGCCATTATGTATGCATAAGAGTAGAATCCGAGGATGAAGACGTCATTACTGAGAATGTCAAAATTTACTTAAAGAGCAAAAGCCAAGAGGATGGATTCGAAGTCGAATGGGGAGGAGCTGCTTCTAAAAATTGCGTAACTAACCAAAGCGTAAAAAATGATGAAAATATCTCGACACAGGAGAATACTGGACAGGTGAGCAAATTGGCCGTTTCGCACGATCCTGTGGGAAGTTGCAACTTGAAGGACGGGAGCAAAACGGGGGAAGCTATTATAAGAGGGGGGGAAATGAGCGACCAAGAAGGGATGATGCTGGAGGGGGAGCAGGAAGAAAGGATGATACTGGAGGGAGAGCACGAAGAAAGATCATACTCCCAACGTAGCGGCAAAGATAAAGTGCTGCTAACCCCCCGTAAGGAGTGCAGTGGAGGAGCTGAGTCACCTGAAACACACCGCGCAAAGCGACTCCCATCTAGCTTAAGAGAGGGTAATAACACACCGCCAGAACTTGGGAGGGAAAAAAGAGGTGCACGTGAAAATAATAGCGCCATTTGTGGAGACGAACAAGGCAGTAAGAGGGGAAGCCATTTTAAGGCAGTCCAAATATGTGCAGCCCTGCCCTGTGGGAAGTATTTCCCTCGAAGGAGGCACAAAATGGTGAGGAAAAATAACATGTATAATTTCTGCTCCAAGTACAAGAGGAATTACAATCTCAGATTACATCATCGCAAGGTGAAGGAAAGAAAAGTGGCGAGCGATGGAGGAAAGAACGAACAGGCTGGTACACATGCAGAGAGGGGCTTCTCATGTGAAGGGATCATTTTAGGGGGGGAAGCATATCCGGGTGCTGAGCAGGGAAACGCTTCTTCCAACGAAGGCGTCGCCGATCAATTGTGCAGTGGGAAAAAAAGGAAAATTGGTAAACTGCTGATAAATGTTGCCACCCCCAATCGCCTTTTGAAGAAAAAAAAAACGCAGCCAAGTTCACTCGTCAAGAGTCGTTCCCCGGGAGGGTTGACGTGCAGGGTGAGGATGTCCAGGGGCGGTGAGGGCCGCAGAAAGGGGAAAGGAAAAGAGTTAAAAAAGGGGGAGGTGTGTGGTGTAGTTATGTCCCAGGTGGAAGAAGTGGTAGAAGCGTCGCCCCCGGTTGAAGAAGTGGTAGAATCGTCATCCCCGGTTGAAGAAGTGGTAGAATCGTCATCCCCGGTTGAAGAAGTGGTAGAATCGTCATCCCC